GGATCAGCGGAGCAGCGAGGCCTCCCGGCACCGGGATCAGGGTGACAGGGGGCAGCGCCCAAACCCCCTGATCGCCCTGCGGCTCTGTGTGTGACAGGGGGCGGGGCCACAACCTCCCTATCTGCCCTGCTCTGTTCATGACAGGGGAAGGCACCCCACCCCCCTGATCGGCCCTGCTCTGTGGTGATAGAGGGTGGTGCCCAACCCCCCTTCACGGGCCTTGCTCTGTGTGTACGGATAGAGCCATAACCTCCCCATTGGCCCTGCCCTGAGTGTGACAGGGTGCAGCGCCCAACCCCCTGATCCGCCCTGCTCTGTGTGTGACAGGGGGCGGTGCCCCAACTCCCCTATCGGCCCTACTCTGTGCATGACAGTGGGGAGCTCCTCAACCCCCTGATGGGCCCTGCTCTTTGCGTGACAGGGGGGAGCTCCCCAACCCCCTGATTGACCCTGCTCTGTGTGTGACAGGGTACGGAGCCCCAACCCCCCTGATGGGCCCTGCTCTGTGAGTGACAGGGGCAGCGCCCCAACCCCCTGATGGGCCCTGCTCTCTGAGTGACAGGAGGCAGCGCCCCAACCCCCTGATTGGCCCTGCTCTGTGAGTGACAGGGGGCAGTGCCCCAACCCCCTGATTGGCCCTGCTCTGTGCGTGACGGGGTGGCACTGCAACCTCCCCATCAACCCTGCCTTGAGTGTGACAGGGGGCGGTGCCCCAACCCCCCAATCGGCCCTACCCTGAGCGTGACTGAGGGTGGCATCGCAACCTCCCGATCCGCCCTGCTTTGTGCATGACAGGGGGCGGCGCCCCAACTCCCCAATCGGCCATGCTCTGAGCCTGACCAGGGGCTGCACCTAGGGATTGGGCGTGCCCTCTGCCACCCGGGAGCAGGCCTAAGCCAGCAGGTCGTTATCTCCCGAGGGGTCCCAGACTGTGAGAGGGCACAGGCCGGGCTGGGGGACTCCCTTACCCCCCCCCACCCCGAGTGCACAAATTTTTGTGCACCGGGCCTCTAGTCCTATATAATAAAAGGCTAGTATGCAAATTGTCCCCTCAACTCGGAGTTCAACCAGGGGGCTGGCTGGCCAGCCAAAGGCCTGCAGCCCCTCCCCCCATCTGGCCCACCCTGATCACCCGGATTGGGGTGGGCCACCAGACCCCACCCGTGCACGAATTTGTGCACCCGGCCTCTAGTACTGTAACAAAAGTTATGTCAGTGCAGTCTGTCTTTTTCTCAAAATACCTTATTGTGCTGCAGTCACCTTTTCACTCACAGGGGAGCTGTCCCAGTTATGAAGGGGAAGGAAGACGGTGGCCTTCAATGGGAGGATGAAGAGAGGGGGATAATTTAGGGAGAGACTTAAGACCTCGCTGCTGTCTTTTCCTGTGATCACCAAAATCAGTGGACTCTCAGGGACTTTCTGCATCCTGGCTTGCTGAGCAGGAAGGGGCTCCAATTAAGCATGCTCCTGAGTGATCAGATTAGGAAGCTGCCCATCTTTAACTTTCTTCCTGGGGAAAGGAATGGGGAGCAAATTGCCCTCCTCCCACAGGCAGTTCACAGGGCAGCTCGCTGTGCTCAGGTTTCGGAAGGGAGGTGTCTCCAACATCCAGGCTTCCCCGTCTGCATCTTTTGCTCGAGTACATTAGTTCCCTTTGTCTCAGGCCCCTCTCCAGGCCCCCTTCTCTCACTTGCCAGGACTGTTTCTCAGTGCTGTGTCTGAGGCTGGGCTGCATCCCGGTGTCTGGAACAAATCTTTTGTTATGATGAAATAGCAGGACTCTTGGATCCTGATCCCTTCTCAGCTGTTAACTTGGTATTTGGTTCCTTGGTAATTTTCAGCTTAACCTGCCTCCTCTCCTGCCTGTTTCTCACTAATATCAGTTTCATACTGGAAGCTGAATTTCACACATACCACCTCCGCAACCATGAGTGAGATGGTTAGATTAACGCCTGTTTCTTCACGACTCTCCCAACATGTAATAGAGGCACATGTGTGGGTTCCTGTGCTCACCTCCCAGACTTGTGTGATTTTCCTTTGGTTCAGTGGTCATGCACCCCCCACAACCTAACACCATCCAGATGGTGAGAATATCATGTTGCTCATTTCACATGAGAAAGCCATGCCCCACCCTCTTACTCAAGTTGCATTCAAATCTAATTTCCATGGCCCCTGTGAGGGGAGCTTCCCAGCCCCTGTCACAGCTGTCAAGGTTACAATGCTATTTCCCAGCTGGGCCAGTGGCAGCCAGCAGGCACCAGACAGCTGTGTGCTGGCATGGAAGTCACAGTCCCCTCCCGCAGCCCTAACTGTGACTCCTGCCACTGCCAGGGTCAATGCTGGATACATGGTATTGTTCTCTGAACAAGAAGAGTTGTCAGCTTATCACTTTATAAAATACTAGTAGCCCGGTGCACGAAATTCATGCACTGGGGTAGGGGGGGAGGAAAGGGGCCCCTCAGTCTGGCCTTCACCCTCTCCAATCTGAGGCCCCTCAGGGAATGTCCAACTACCTGTTTGTGCCCACACTTTTAACAGATAACAGCTCCATTGTTGTTTCTTTCTTATGCTTAAAACCATTGGAATTAGTAGGTATTCAAAGTGTGTATACATTTTGGGGGGACACCCTGTATATCTCTAGTCAGTGGTGAAAGAAACCAACAGCAGATTTGGAACCCCCAGACAGGGAACCTCGCTCACTCCCCACATGTCTCCCCACTTCACTTTCCACCTTCGTGGGCAGCAGGAGAATCAATGTTTTCTCTCATTAATTCGGAAAAGCACGTCCTATCACCTGCTGCCCGGCAGGAGTGTGCTAGGCCCCAAGCAAGTGAGGCTCAGTCAGGGCAGCCTTCGCTCATGGGTGCGGCACCCAAAGTGCACATTCCTCCTCTACAGTCGCCCCGACTATCCCACTGTTTCACTGAGAGGACGGAATTCCTCTCCACCTCTGGGCTCTTGATCTTGAACACTGACCAAAGGCACCTCAGCGAGGGCCGCCCGCACCCACCAGGTGTGTCTGTCTGCACCTGCTCCTGCCTCAGCACCTTCATTAACCCTCCAGAGGTGATCTCGTAGCTGCACTGGCCTCCGTGGGAACAGGGCATCACCACTCCGCCCTCTCACTGTCATCTCACAGGCGCCCACTCTCAGCACCCAGAACACCCAGACACTCTCCAAAGGATGTGAGCGCATCAGAGGGGATGTGTGCGCATCCTGTGGGGGTGTTAGGCATGCCGGGTTGATGGAAGTGCAGTGGAGAGGCGGGGGGAACTTGTGCACGCCTTGGTTTGCAACTGTTGCAAGCGCGGGAGGGTGACAGTGTGCTGGGGGATGTTCGCATGCCAGGGGGGATATGCACACCGGAGGCCTCTGGCTTTGCAGATCCGCAAACCCTCGTGGTGTGGCCAGGAGGACGTCAGCCTGGCCCGCCACGGTGGCTGTCCCTGCGATCCTGCACCTTCTGGGCCAGGAGGCGGATCTTGCGCAGCCACTCCTGGGCGCTGATGGCCTGTAGGCGCTACTTCAGCTCAGCCTGCAGGCTCTGCTTGGAGCGCTCACAGCTGTCACCACTGCCATGTGGGGAGTACCGGCCGCCCTCCGCTGGCCTGCCTCCCCTGTCCAGAGGCTCTCTGCCCTGCTCACCTGCACAGAGTGACTGGGGCTGGGTGGAAGCCAGGTGTCCTGCCCTGCCCAACCCCAGCTGATCTGTGCGAGCTGCTGCCCCTCCGGGAAGGGTCACGGATCCGGGTCCCGGGACCGCGGACAGTCTCAAGGGCTCCCCCCCACCCCGCAGGCCACAGATCCGTGTCTTGGTCCCATGGACAGCCTCAAGTACTGCCCCCCCCCTGGCAGGGTCACAGATCCATGTCTTGGTCCCATGGACAGCCTCAAGCACTGCCCCCCCCCCCGGCAGGGTCACAGATCTGGGTCCTGGGACCACGGACAGCCTCAAGCGCTGCCCCCCGCCAGCCAGGACATGGATCCAGGTCCCAGACCGCCGACAGCCTCAAGCACTGCCCCCCGCCCAGCAGGGTCACAGATCTGGGTCCCAGACCGCGGACAGCCTCAAGCACTGCCCCCCGGCCGCCAGGTCACGGATCCGGGTCCCAGACCGCGGACAGCCTCAAGCACTGGTCCCTTCCTGGCAGGGTCACAGATCTGGGTCCCGGACTGTGGACAGCCTCAAGCACTGCCCCCCACCCAGCAGGGTCACAGATCCGGGTCCCAGACCATGGACAGCCTCAAGCACCGCCCCCCGCCTAGCAGGGTCACAGATCCGGGTCCCGGACTGTGGACAGCCTTTCCCGCTGCCGCCTGCCTTCAGTATGCAAATTAGCCGCCATCTTGTTGCTTCAGGGTGGGGGTCCCCACTGGGGTGCCTGGCCAGTCTGGGTGAGGGGATGATGGCTGTTTTCAGGCTGGCGGGCAACTGAGGCTCCCAACCTCTCCTATTTTTCTTTTTTTTTTGATTCTGGGATTTATTTACCTTCTATGGCTGTCACTGGAGCTGAGAGCTGGTTTTAGCTCTGAGGCTCGGCTCCAGCTCTGAGACCTCGGCTGCTGAAAGCAGGGATCTGGGTTTGTTTGGGTTCTATAATTGTAACACTGTTGCGATCCTGCTGGCTGAAGCCCGGCTGGCTGAAAGCAGGTTTCTGGGGAATGTTTACCTTCTATATTTGCAACAATGTTTCTTAGAGTTGCAGCTCAGAGGCCGGCAGCAGCAGGCGGGAACCTTGGCTTCCTCCATCACTGGAGCAAGCAAGCCTCCCTGTTCACTTCAGGGGCCTGGCTGCCAGCCGCCATCTTGGTTGGCAGTTAATTTGCATATCTCCCTGATTAGCCAATGGGAAGTGTTCGGGGCCACGGTCAATTTGCATCTTTCTCTTTTATTAGATAGGATAACATATTGTGCCTGCTCATGTTTTGAAATGTTCCAACCATTTATTGTCTGTTTTTTTTTTATAAGTTTAGGAATAGCTTTAACTTGTATTCTTTCCAGGAGACCCGGAGAACCCAGGAGTTTCCATGCTGTGCTGCCCCCCAAGCTCTGGATCCACCTGGCCGTGGTGGCCTGCGGCAACCGGCTGGAGGAGACGCTGGTCATGCTGAAGTCAGCCGTGCTCTTCAGCCACAGGAAGATGCACTTCCACATTTTCACAGAAGAATCTCTGAAGCCCGAGTTTGATAAGCAGGTGAATTTGCAGATATTGCAGCATAACATGTGCCGAGTCAGCTGGGCTGCATTTTGGGAAAAGCATATATTGTTCACAGATGTATTTTGCTGCACATTCAACTGTGTGACTCTGCACTTTTGACTCTGCACCTCACTGTTATCTATAACACGGGGTGTCAGAGCCAGCAGGAGCTCTGCTCAGCACTGCTGCTCTGAGTTGTTGTGAGTCCATGTATTCTTCTCAACTCTTCCTGACTACTCCAGGGCTGGTTCCTTCTCTAACCTTGCCCACTACACTCACTGTTGGGAACTTAAGCCAAGTCTCCCTTTATCCTCTGCTCACTAGACAGCAGGTCAATTCTTTCTTGGTGGCAGGGCGGACAGAGAAGCCATGAGAGGTTGTGGGTGCACTAGTAGAAGGATGAGTCTTTATTGCAGGAGCCAGTGGCCACATAACCATCAGACAAGACAGTCCTCACAGCAAAGCCCATATAGGCAGGCAGCCACACACCAGTTGGTGAATACATGTCTTTCCCATAAAGCAGCATCCGTCTCTGTACCCACAGCTGTTATCTGAGCAGCTGCACGCTGCCTCTAAACCTAAAGCTTCACACAGCAATAGCACTGCTTCTCCCTTAGAGCTGCAGCCTCATGGCCTCTCTGGCTCAGCAGCTTCTCCTGTCTTTCTGCCCAGCACACTGGCGGGGTAACATGGCAGCTGTATCTGAGCTCTCTGTGAGCTCCTAGCCTTCCATCGTGGCAGCACCAGCTCTCAGCTCCGTCTGAGCTCTCCTCTCTCCTGCACACGTAGGAGCTATATTCTCTCTGCCTACTGCCTCTCCTTCTCTGAGCTCTCTAGCCTCTGCTCTGCCCAGCTGCTCTCTTACAGACTAACTGGTCAGTAGCCTGTATATTACTCCAGAGATAAAGCAGGCTAGCTGACAACAGTGACATCAATCATTTGGGTTACAGAAGGGCACAGTATACCATATATCCTTACACCCGCTCATGGTGTCTTGGCCTTGGGCACCCCAATTAGGCTTATACCAGAACAGCCTTGAACATCCCGGTGTATGAATAACAAGGCCTCTGTGCTCTCACTGGCGTGGCTCCCACAGGGGTGATTACACCTGTAGATGGAAGCATCGTGAGGATGAAATGAGATGATGCACTGAAAGCATTTGCCCCAGAGCTTGATCCCTCTTGGAATTATGAACATTGTTCTCACTCAGGAGATGGATAGTTTATGTTCATTGATGTGCTATGTAGTATATGTTATAAATAAGTAATATATGTTAGTTAAAATAAATTCAAACAATATAGGGCTTATAAACTAAATGTGCAGTCTTTGCTACCTTTCAGTCCTACCCAAGAAAGTATCAGAATTAGCAATTTAGAGTGATTCTTTTTTTTTAAAAAAAAATTTTATTGATTTTTTTACAGAGAGGAAGGGAGAGGGATAGAGAGCTAGAAACATCGATGAGAGAGAAACATTGATCAGTTGCCTCCTGCACACCCCCTACTGGGGATGTGCCCTCAACCCAGGTACATGCCCTTTGACTGGAATCGAACCTGGGACCCTTCAGTCCACAGGCCGACGCTCTATCCACTGAGCCAAACTGGTCAGGGCCAGAGTGATTCTTTTATATGTCCCCCCCCCCCATATACAGGTGTGTATGTGTGTTTATCTGTGGACCGGTGCATGAAATTCATGCATGGGAGTAGGGGGTTTCCTCAGCCCAGCCGGCACCCTCTCCAATCCAGGATATACCTCTCACAATCCTGGACTGCTGGTTCCTGATCGTCACC